GAATAAAAGGAACCCCTATATCACCAGACAATGGGAAATATGAAAGACATACAGTAAAAAACAACAATGTTGTCTGCTAGGTGTTGTTGTCATCACTCAGGTCACAAGGTATTAAAAAAACAAAACAAAACAAAACACATCAAGCCATTATTCAAACATAGGTTTGACCCCCCCCCACATATCAAGCCCTTTTTTACCAATATTCCATCTTTTTTTTTTTCACTCTTTGCTCTTATCTTGTAAGTGGTGGGATTTATTACAAGCTGATGACAGCTTCTTCAAAATTTATCATTGGCTGGCTAGCCTTTGACCCAGATATGTCAAAGTCAATTTGGTTTGATTTTCTTTATTGCTGCTATAAACTCCTGGTTTCTGGTGGTCAGGAATTGAGGATAAATCTTTCGCCTTTTACTGAAGATTTCTGTGGCCAGGTGTCAATATTTTTTAACCCTTGGTGGCTATATAATTGAAAATTACCAATGGACTTTGTCACATTTTGACCCCCCTAGGAATGTTGTTTTCCTTCAAACTTTCAATTTTATGCCTGAAATAATTTGATTATCATTTAGGATTTCTGATTTTAAAGAAAAAAAAAAAAAAAGGTTAATTTCCCATTATTTGGGAAATTTTTTGTTTAGAACTAGAAAAAATGAAAAATTTCCACTATTTTTTCACATCTAACCCCCTGAAAAATTTTTTGAGTCATTTATACCAGCCAATTTTACTTTAAAATGAAAGAATATATAGTTTGCTTTCAGAAAATACCTAGTTCCATGGGGTTCAGGTCAAAAGCTTCCTTGATATTTTGTTCAGATGATGACAAAACAGTCATTTTTCAACATTTTACCTTGTTTTACCCATATGAAAATCCAGTTTTTTTTTTTCAGAGAAAATAAGCTGTGACAAAATGACTTTTGTAATTTTTGTGATGATGTTTACTTGGGATAGAAAAATTTTACCATAGCAAACCTGAATTGACTTTTTAGAGGGGCTAGGAACCCTAACAGCTGTGTCTTAATAGGAGCGTATTTGTTACCGGAAGATTTAGATAACCGAACAAACTCCAATGACTAATTGCATATACACACATTCCGTTCATTCAAATTAACGAATCGAATACCGAAGGAAACTTACATTTTCAAATTCATTATTCTTTTTACTTTTATCCAATTCCATATTGGTACGCATGGACGAATAGTAGATTTGTAAATGCACAAGAAGATGGATTCTGACAAGAAAAACTTTCTAGCACGTTACTGAAGCGGAAAATCAGAGAGATGTCTAGCTGGTAATCAAGTTATAACAACATGTGCATGTGTTTTTACGTGTACAAATGGCACAAGCACATGTAATAATTGTAAGCCACTCATGCACAACATGGGCACGCATTTTTGTGTTTTATGCTGTCAAACGTAATTTATTTCTTGAGTTTTTGAATTATCTTTGGTAAGATTTGGTTGGGGCGAATTTTCTGTCTATTCACATTTGATATTACATATTTTTTTTTTTTACTGAAATAACAAACATCTCAGGAATATTTCTTTTTTACTTTATGACTGTAAAAAAAAAAATGACCAACAGTCCCTCCCCCAAATTAAAAACTACACATGGGATATCAAAAAGAGGGGTACCGATCACCAAAAATTCAAAGAAATATTTCTATTCACTAGGAAGATAATTCAATAACTCGTTCGAATACTGAAAATTCTGTTTGAATCACAAAATTACTATTTTTATCAAATATTTTAATTAAAACAGGGGTAGCATTTTTTTTTTTTTTTTTTTTTTAAAAAAAAAAAAAAAAAAGAAACCACGTCAAGTCATATGAACATGAAAAAAAAATGCTTGTAATATGCAAAAAAAAAAAAAAAAAAATACAAATTGATTATTTCTGGTCGTAGAGAAATCTTTAAAATTAAAATATGATTCGACGTTTAAAACAGCATTTTTGTTGTTAAAAGCGCACAAATAGTTTTTTTGTTTGTTTGACAGACGAAGCTTCTTTGTGCAAATTCTTTTGCTGTTAAATGAACTTCCGTTCGACTCTTTTTGTTTTCCCTGATCGACACAAGATTTTATTGGTGTTCGATTTGTTAAATAAACTATTGTTGAAATTTCCTTAAAGAAATATAATATTAGCTGATTTTATTTTTTTTCTTTGGCGACATAATGTGGGGCCATGTTTTTTGTGTTTGTTTTAATTGAGAATGGACCGAATTTTAGAAATAAATTTGTATAACAATCAAATAAAAAGTCACCATTAATTATTACATACCAGTGGATACTTTCTGTTTCTTTTTAGGAGGCATAACAGTTTTTTTCCGACTTCACTTCACAATTGCAATATATTTCAAAACAATAACATCTCATTTACAGACCACGTGCAAATTTCGCGCGCGTTACTTTTTATGGCGTAATAACGACAGTACAAGTATAATTTCTTATCAAAATTCAAGGAATAATTTTTAGAAAATAAATGTATCTAAGTAGCATCAATCAAAAAATTTTAAAAACTAATATCTAAATCGATAATAACAAGAAATATTAAATCTTGCGACAGCCGTAAAACGATGTCAACACCTAGCAACATCGCGCTAGCGGCTAATAGCAACAAGGCGGTGTCACTTTTTACAAATATGTCCGCCTATGCTATTCATGACTGTGTTAATAATTTATTATATGTAGTTAACTGTCGTTTCGACCTTATTTTTAACTTGGTCATGTTTGGAAAGAAATTGTTTAAATTCAGTTGTTAATTAAAATTTAATATGTATACTGTATATATGTATATACCGGAATGTACGGTAAAAATATTTAGTTAATTGAAAAATCTGATTGTTTCTTTGAGACAAACCTTTTTTATCACCCGTAATGTAAACACGACAACGAAATTAAGGTAAGTTTTCTAAATATCTAATTGAAATGTGTATTTTGTTAAAGAGTTTGTTTCTTGATAGTGTTTTTAAAATTAATTTTTATAAGGTTCTAGAATTCATTAATTAACTAATATTAAATTTGTCAGTTTATTTTTTTTTTTTTAAAATATCATTTTTAAATTTTAAACGTATTTTTTAAAACGAGCCATGATCAACCACACCCTGAAAAGACATACTATATTAGAAAAAAGAAAAAACAAGGAAGATCTCTCTAACAAGAGATGCTAAAATCCAGTTTTAAAATTTAATTGCAAGAGAATTTCCAAATCATTTTGTAGATGCAAAGAAAGATATAATAATTGTCTTAGAATATTTGAACTACATTCATATCATTAATTTTAATTCTCATAAATTCATTAATTATGAAGGATCAGAGCTTCAATTTAAGACCATAGATGTTTACTTTGATCTGTGATCAAAATATATCCGGTTGAGAATACACCATAAATTTGACAATAAAAAAGAACATTAAAGTTATTGCATGTTGTTTTAGGTCAGTTGTTTTATGTTTGATTTTTTTAACTCTTTTTTTTTTTTCTATCAATTCACTCCAAGCAGGCAATAATGACACTAAAATGCAGGGGACTACTGGAAGTGAAAAAGATTAAAAAACAAGACTTTTTTTTTTTTTTTTTTTTTTGGATCCATCTATCCAGGTTTTCATTATAATCCCAGTGTCAGGATTCCAGGCATTTAACAACAACAACACATCTTTTAAATGAACACACAAAAGGTTATTTTCTGCAGGAAAAGTAGAAGCAGAATGCCAATTGAAATAACATTTATATATTCTTTTCAGAAATATACAGTAACAATAAAATGTTCAATTTTCTTTGCAGGGACATTTGTTTTATAAAGTAATTAAGTATTCATAGTCTGGTGTGAAATATGTGGACAGACTTATGACGGTCAGCCTAATGTCTTTGTGCATTCATAGACAAAAGGCTTAGTCAGTAGTTGCTGGTTAATCCCTTCTATTGTGTGCATGCACAAGGCCTTAGTTGGTGGCTGTTAGTAGTTGTCTCTTCCATTGTGTCTGGGTGCACAGGTGTGTAGATCAAACTGGTCTCTGAAATTGTTTTGAGCCTTGAGAAGGCTTCTATCTTTATATCCATAAGGGGGATATGAAATCTAATTTCACACAGAGGTGTGAACTTTTTGAATACAAGGTTTTCATTAGTTAGAAAATAATTTCCTACTGGCTCACAAAAAATGTTTTTCTCAAATTTGCAGCAATGATAAAGGGAGTTATTATTGTTATTTTCTAAATAATTAAAAAATAACATGTGGTAGGTCTACAACTACGTGTACAAGTATTTTGGCAGTATTTACCCTTGTAATGATTGTTTATCAAACAAAGCTTCTGATAGGATTTTACTGATTGAAAAATATATATAGAATTTTATTCCTATACTTTAGAAAGAACCCATAACCAAATCCTAAGCATGAAACAAGGCTAAACCTCTACATCTGTTTAAAAATTGGGGAGGCGTGTAAATAGGACAATAGGCAAAGCTATTTACTTCTATTGTGAAGAAAAAGAAATTAATAAAATTTCAGTGTTCAGATGGATACATTAAAAGTATAGAGTTAAAATAGAATTTTGACAGAACCAAAAATCCAATCCTAAACAGGAATCAAGGTATAAACCTCTACTTGTATTCAAAAGACCAAGGAGAAGTGTAAAGTAGACACTCAGCGAACCTTTCTACTCCTATTAAGGAGAGAAAAAAAGAAATTAGTGAATAAAATTTCAGATTTCAGGCAGAGATGTTGAAAGTATAGAGTTGAAGTATATTTTAGAAGGAACCTGAAACCCAAATACTGGATTAAATCTCCAATCATCATGCCTCCACCAGGGTATTTTTTTGTAAATGCCATGTATGTATGTAGGTGATCATGGCTCTCCATAGAATCATTTATAATCTGTGAATAATTGACATGACTTATTAGGAAAAACAATGGATTGGTTTGCTAATGCCTTGTTTGATATTCAAAGTATTCACTAACCCCTTACGACTTAGTGGCTTTATTGCCTTGCTTTGGTGAAATGATTAAAAAAAAAATTAAAAAAAACAGGGATAGCAACTCAAACATGTGTACCTACTAAAATTAACATTTATAGTATAAATATACAAATATATTTGGAAATATGTATATATATATATATATATATATGGAGATCGAGTATGGATGAGAATCCAAGAAAATGATAGGAAAATGAATAAGTAGGAAATAGATTATAATCTAACATGATCCACTTTATTAAAGCTTCATCAGAGATCAAGATAGAAATGATAAAAAATGATTAAAAGCAAAGAGACACAAATTAATTGTTTGTTGTGTTAAGATATTTCATTGCTTAGATATGTGTTACATAGATAGATATCGTATATACTCGAGTATAGTGCATGCAAGTTTTTATGATCAGTTTTTTACGCAAAAAAAACTGGGTGTCGTACTATACATATATAATGAAAAGTAATAGAGAATTGAACAAGTGCGAAACAGATGATAATCTAACTTGATCCACTTCATTAAAGCTTCATCAGAGATCAAGATAGAAATTATAAAATATGATTTAAAATCAAAGAGATGCAGATTAATTGTATGTTGTGTTAGGTTATTTCATTACTTACAACATAGGACATAACTTTAATTTCACCAGTGCCAGCCTTATCAAAAAAAGATCATAACTCTTTAAAAAGAAAATATGTTTATAGCAACATTATCAATTAACACATGTTTATAAAACAACATTGTGTCACCATTTTTCTACTGATCCATTATTCATGAATCTAAATTATCTCTTCTGAATACATAAAAATCAATAAAACCCTTATGAAAAATTGTTCAAAAAATATCATTCATATTGTGCTGTTAAAATAAAATGTAATAAACTTTGAACAAGTGTTAAATTTATCTTTAGGCTGTTTGAAATTAGTTGGAAACTAAGAAAGAGAAATGACTTGTAGAAAAACTAACAAACTCTAAAAAAAAAAAAAAAATTAATTTCCTACCCCCAAAATAATTTTACCCAAATATTTCATCAGCAGTATGTTGGTGTATTGGAATTGTGGAAAAATGAAATAAAATCGATAATTAAAATAATAATAAAATGAATTATATTATTCAGCTCAGGATCTATGCTGATCACATAACTATTTACTCCTGTCTTCATAGTAAGTCCAATCGGTTTAATAGGGTCAAACTGGCAGCAGATCTCAAAAACTGCCTACAATCTGTTATTAAACTGGGCAAGGAATGTCTTGTTAATTTTAATTCCTCCAAAATGAACCTGCTTTTTTTAAGTGTCAGAGAGAACCCTTTTTATCTTTCATCAGCATGGTGGATGTTAACTGCCAGGAGATTAATTCATTGCACCTTTTTGGACTAACGTTTTCTGCTGACATGAAATGGAAAGAGTATATATAAATCAATTGCTAAGTCTGCAGCTAGGAAAGTTGGTTCAATGTGTTGAGCTAGACAATTTTTCTTGATTAACTTTCCTTTATGGTATCTAGACTTTACGAATTTAATCACACTACTAGATTGGGGATAAGGTTTCATCATTTTACAGTTGAAATGGCTCGATATAACTGTTGTGTAATTCTATGCTAACGAAATGGCTCGATATAACTGTTGTGTAATTTTATGCTCACGAAATGGCTCGATATAACTGTCGTGTAATTCTATGCTAACGAAATGGCTCGATATAACTGTCGTGTAATTCTATGCTAACGAAATGGCTCGATATAACTGTGGGTGTAATTCTATGCTAAACTAAATGGCTCGATATAACTGTCGTGTAATTCTATGCTAACGAAATGGCTCGATATAACTGTCGTGTAATTCTATGCTAACGAAATGGCTCGATATAACTGTCGTGTAATTCTATGCTAACGAAATGGCTCGATATAACTGTTGTGTAATTTTATGCTAACAGTTTCTTCTCTCACACTTCTTGCTTGTGGAATTCTCTACTGGCTTCTCAGTCAAGTTTGATCTTCAAAAATTTAAATACAATGTCAATTGTTATCTTCTGTCTTATTAATTCTTGTTCTTTTATTGTCCACTCTCCTTAATATTAGTTTTTCTCATATTCTCTAACCCCTTATGTCTTAGTGGCTTTATTGCCTTGCTTTGGTGAAATGATTAAAAAAAAATTATAAAAACTGGGATAGCAACTCAAACATGTGTACCTACTAAAATTAACATTTATAATATAAATATACAAATATATTTGGAAATATGTATATATATATATATATATATATGGAGATCGAGTATGGATGAGAATCCAAGAAAATGATAGGAAAATGAATAAGTAGGAAATAGATTATAATCTAACATGATCCACTTTATTAAAGCTT